ATGCATTTTAGAGAACTCCCAAGAACCAAGACTCTGCTTATGTGTAATATTTTTTTGCGAAATAAATCACACATCCACGATGACACTCAAAACAATCTATGACACTCCTAAAAATAATCACTTCATGCAAACCACATCTAGTTGTTGAATTATGTCAAAATGTTCTGATTTGGGATACCTAGTGATTATAAAAAAATAGATAAAATCTTTCTGCAAAGTATGCAAGGCCAAATAAAGTTTGAAGTGTGTAACATTGCTTCCCCCCCCCCCCAAAAAAAACCCCTGCTGATAAGCAGAAGATTGAGAATCTCTTTCTGGAAGTGGTAGCAAAAAAATGCACGATTATAGTGGGTATAAAAAGTTTATACTCTATTAAATTGCCTGGTTTTTTGAGATGTAAAAAAAAATCACATGATGATAAATCACCACAGAATTTTTTCCAACTTTAATGTAAAATAAAAGCTGTAGAAATTGAGAAATAAACTGAAATATTTATGGTTGTGTAAGTGTGCACACCTTATAAATAGGGATGTGGCTGTGTTCAGAATGAACCAATCAGATTCAAACTGATGTTAACTAGTCGTCAGGACACACCATCCATCAATTAAAATAGATGTGTGGAACATGAAGAACTGGAACTCTCCATGCAAAGTGAACATGATTTATTGGTATTATGGAAACCTGGTGGGATAAAAATCATGAATAGAATGCAAGAATGGTAGGATGGAACTTATTCAAAAGGGGCAGAACAGACTAAAGGAAAGAAGTGGCATTATGGGTAAGGCAAGTAAACAGCATGTACTGAGATTCAGGAGTTTTTACACAAAGGTTCTAAAAACATCTTGGTAATTGCAAGGAAGGGGAAACAACCAAGATATTTTTTGGAGCCAGGTGCTAGAGATTGGCAAGCCTGGTAGAAAATGTAGATAATGCTCTCCTAGACACTAGGATGACTGGCAACACAAATGGTTTAAGATAGAAGCTTACTCTGAGAAATGAGAGGGGGGGGGTTGAAAGATAAGAAAATCAAGACTAAAAACTAATTTACAACGAGTCAAAGTATTAACAGAGGTAAATGATCCGAGAGAACAAGGCGTAGGAGTGATTTAATGTTTCAGCAAAGGAAAATTTAAATATAGAAAAAGTTTCAGTTAATATTGCTACCTGATTGTAATCATCACTTCTGAAAAAAGGGATGAAAGACACCTTGAACTTCCTTATGTAAGTGAATTTGTGCAATCTGTATCATGAATAAAAGGAAATAAATAATGTAATTATGGGTGCTTTTCACAGATGGCTTTGCCCACAGATTTAGTTATCGCCTAACATTCATTTGGAGATTTGCTCCTGTTTTGCCTGTGCAAGCCTCTTCAGCTTTAAGAAATTCTGTGAGCCTCCATCTTAAGTTGCCAGAGATCTCCTGGGGATTCTGGGCCTCTTGCTGTTTGGCAACTCCTACTTCAGCATCAAAATTCAGAACTTGTAAAGCTGCAACAATGAGCAGAAAGCATTAAAATGTAAATGCAAAGCCCTTCATTACCACAGGAACAATCAAAGGCTTAAGAATAGGATTCTATATTATATAGGACAGTGATGCACATATGAAAGAGATCTGAGTGTCTTGGAGCACAAGCTTAAAAGATCCAATTGTATGAAGCATTTGCAGAAAAAGCAAATGGAACACAGGTAGTTCTCAAGTTACAACCACAATTGAGCTCAAAACTCCCTAGTCCAGATTTCCCCAATTGTTATGGCCATTTTTGAGAATTCTGGAAGTTGAACTCTATGGAGGCTGCCTATATTGGAAAGCAATGGCTTAGATAATCAGGGTCCCTTTCCACCCTTAGATTTTATAATTCTATGAAATTCTAAATCCATTAATAAAAAGACTTCTATTCCTTTCTGAGATGTGTGATTTATCTCACAATAAAAGGTAGGATTACAGTAACACCTCACCAAAAGCTAATTTAATAATTCTACCAAGTATAATCAAGTATTTTTAATTCAGATATAGTATAAGCATGTTATTAAAATAGTGCTAATAATCATGTGTGTGTGTGTAAATTTATGCAAGAGACAAAAGCAAAACATAACCAAGAAATCAAGATTATAGAATACATTCTGGTCAGGAAAATGTTTTGATAACATCCCTAGTTATATTTCTCTGTTCAGAGAAGCTTAAAAGCAAGTCCTGAGTTATACTCACTGACCTGTAGGATATAAATCAGGTAGCTCAATGGTTCTGAAACTTTTCTTCACCACAGACCCCCTTTAAATACCTTTTGTGGCCACGGATGGAGCATGGCCACAGATCCCCAAGAATTAACTCAAGATTTAAATCATAACGTTCCTTCAAGCTTTCAAGGACCCCCTGTGACATTGTGGCCCCTCAGGGGTCACGAACCACGGGTTGAGAATCACTAGGATAGCTTGAAGAAATGTATGTTCCAACGTCTTCCTAACTCACTGGAGGCTTAAGATGACATGCTACAAAAATGTAAACAACGGCACTTTGGTGAAAAACAAAACCGGACAGTGGCCGCTGGAAGGATCTTCTGACTTACCTATGGCTTGACAAAAGAGAAGGAAGGTGCTATGAGCATTAACATGTAGGATCTGGTCACTTAGGAAAGGTGGTAGCAGTGTAACTGGAGCATGATCTGTGATAGACCAAACTTCAGGCTGAGGGCAGCTGGGTAACGAGAAATCACTTCCAACACAGGATAAAGAGATACCAGTAGGAGGAAATGCTACAGAAGTGGAAGCTGTGAAGAAGAGGACAGAAAAGGAAAAAGAAGAAGAAAAGAGCACTAAGGAAAAAAGTCTGCAAGAAACACTTCACATGCCAAAGAAATAATGTGCATAGGAAAGAAAAAGAGGAAAAAATAGAAAACAGAAATGTAAAGGAAAGTCATGGGGATCCTGTCTTTACTCCATCAAACAAGAAACCAAACTTTTGTGGATTTTATTGTGATATAATCAATCTAAGGCTCAATAATAAAGATGGAATGCAATTAATTTCAATATTTATTCCATAACCTTTTCACATATACATAGTTAAGATAGAAAAATAAAAGCAAAATGAATCATACAAAATATAAAACTATTCACAGCAATACCATCTAAGAGAGGTTGGGGAGTTAACAAAAAAAAAAGGGTTGAGGATAAATTTGCCTACTGAGCAAGGAGATTTCTTGCTATTCCTAACCCTGTTTCTTATAACACAAAAGAGAGACACAGAGACAGCAAAATACAAGTATTAAAACTGTACATCACAAAAGAATTTTACATACAAATAGTGCCACTGTGAACCACATTTAATGTATTTTAACCCATGAAGAAATAAAAGAGTTTTTGGGCAGTTTTGGTTTGTCTGTCTTGTTTCTTCACTTGCTTTTTTCAAATGTTGATGGATGATGTGACAAAAGTGTGAAAATATTTGGCAAAGTTGGCTATGGGTGTTGTAATATGATTACTTTCCAACTGTGAAAAAGGTTGAAAAATAAGTATTCTCTTTCACCTCTTCAGGGACATCCATCAAATATTTGTCAAATTCTGCATTATAAACACACAAGGCTCTCAAAATGTGTGTAGTTTGGTGACAGGGCCTCCCATTGTCCACTTTTAAAAATCCCAAAATGTAGTTAATGTGGCAGTGTCTAACACCTTTGTTTAAAAAAAAAAACTCTTTTCTAAGCTACATTTCCCCATAATCCAAAATTGAGCACTTATAGTGATTACCATACCATCTCTTAAAATAATAAAACAAAATCATTTAACCAAAACATATCCCTGAGAACCTTATGCAAAACTATCCAGACCTGTCCCAATATACAGCATATTCTACAAAAAGTACACAAACTGTTTGGGAAAACTTAAATGCTTCTTTCATCAACTATAGTTAACAGACAAAATACAATGATGGCAGTACATTAAGCATTATAAATCACTAGATGCAAAGAAATGTCCAAAACTGGACAAAAAGCCTATAATTTACCAATCTGATAAACTAAATATTATTTCCAATTTGGAATTAAACTGAAATTAGATTTTTAACAGCAGTTAAATATACGCAAGCTGTAGCTACTTAAATCCTTTTTGGCATGGATTTGCAAAAAGAGTTAATTTTACTTTCTATGGAAACAGGAAATAAAGTAGTATGTGCAAATGTTAAATCAACCTCAAGGGAGAAAAAAGTTTGAAATTTACAACTGGCCATTTAAAATAAAAAATCAACAAACACATGAGAAAAATAAATGTGGAACATAATGGTTTTTAGAATACAGCAGATGGTTCTTTGTTCAATCCAGTTGTGAAATGACAAAGTATCACATACAGATCGATGACATGTAGATAGCCCTTTGTGGCCCAGTTATCACATTTAAATGAAGTGTATTAAAAAAAATATAATAATCAAACTTTCATCAGAAAAACTGGGACCAGTTGCCTTTAATCAGCCTCAGCATCTGAGTCAGCAAATTTCAGTTCACACTTAACATCAAAAGGTTTGTCCTTGACATCTTTGTAAGATTGCGAATGGTCCTCATCATGCTGAATGTGGCCATTTCCATAGTCTGCTTCGGTTTCATAGCCTGTGTCATGTGCTGGCTTTGGATGTTCTCCACTTTGGGTCATAAGACTGCCTGGCTCCACCAAGGTCTCTTTCACACTTTGCTCACAATCAGAAAAATCCGCCTTGGGCTTCTTCTTCCCAAGTAGCATAGCTGAACGGAACTTCAGACACTGGTCTGGTAAATATCCTTTGTAACAATTGTAGGCAAACAGACTCAAGAACAGCACAAAAAAGAACAAAAAGAGAAACATCAAAAGGGAACTATCATTTGCTTTTAGAAACATGGTCTTTTCAGGGACCTCAAGAAACGACTTGGTGCGTTCAAGACTGGAGGCAGTGCTCATTAGCATTGGGACAAGAGGATTTGTTTCTATCCTGGTTGTTGTGACTGGCAAAATTGTTGGAATGTGAACAGCTAACCTTTCAGTAGGAAAAGAAGCCATTTTGGATGCCTCTCTGTTACCTTCTGTTTGTGGAATAGGCTGCTTTGGGCTCAGAGTGGTATGCTGGATTTTTTTCAGTTCCAAAACATGCTTAGCCAACACTTGTGAAAACTTTTGATTCTTCACTTTTTCTTCCGACAGGCATTGATAAACGCCACTGTCACCTTCAGACAAATTGAAGATGAGCAATGCTTTCTCCAGAAGACGGTACTTAGGGCTTTCCACCTTTAGCACATCATCCTTGAATTTCCAAACCACCTGTGCCAGGTTGGATTTCTTTGAACATTTTAACTCTGCAGTGCTCCCATGCCCGAAAGTGTGCTGCAGAGAATGCTCTCTGACTTTATCTGAAATGGCAAAATAAATGTGAAACCATGTCAGAAATGACTTTTTGAAGAGAAGGGGACACCAATTCAGCCATATTGGGTCATCAAATGCTCATAATGTCAGTGCAGGTAGCCAATCGCACCACACCTATGGCAGTATCCAAATGGTATCCTTCTGTTAACAGGAAGCATCAATCAGAACAGGGGCCTTCAAATGCTAGGCATTCATGGACTAGTTTGCAAGATGGCACAAGGCCTGCAGAGTTATATGATATCATTGAAAAAAAGCATTGTTTATTCTGTTGACGAATGCCTCTGTCAGAAGACTTTACAATGGATATGACCATTATTAGTGTGAGACAAGATACAACTTACATTATAAATTATACCCAGGTTCAACTAAACAGAGATGTGTAGAACGTGTCTGCCCTTATATTTGGAAGTGAAAGGAGGCACAGGGAAAAATGTATGAATGATCCTAACAGAGCAGAGGAAAAAAGGCTAACAAATTTAAGTTGTATAATGAGCAGATCATAGTAACAAATATGGTACACAGGCTTAACTTAAAAACAAACAAACAACAAATACAACAGCAAATATAACACAAACTTGGAAAGATAAACTATCTCAAAAGAATTATAATCTTTGAAAATGAACCTTGTGTTTAAATATTCTTGTATAGAACAACCTGTAGTTTAAAACAGTTAATGCTTTTAAAACAACTCTTATGATTCTTTTGTACTTTTGATAGGTTAGATAATATGTAATCTAAACCAGAAACAGCATCACTGGATAGACAGGCTTTTAATGTTCAAAGTGCAGCCTAATTAAGCAATGTCCGTTGTTTTAAATGGCCAAATGTTACTCTTATCAACTTTGACCACAAAACAGGCTTATGCATGCACTGGAGTTGGAAAAAGGCTGCATTGCAAAAAATAAACTATTTGGAGATTTGACCAGAATTTGAAAATAGATTACAGCTAGACCAGTTCCATGTTAACAGTAATAATCATCCCTGGACATGGAAATTTTGTTTTGGAAGGGAAGATCTCTCAATAATTTTTTTTTGTCAGTTTGGAAACTCTCAGTGGATGAGGAAGAAGAATCTATTTAAAAAAAACTATAAAAAGCTAGAGTAACTAAATAAAAACACTAAAACCATGCTAGATTAAAAATAGTCTACTAATTGATTCATATGTAGGTAGACTCACAAAGCCTTTGTGTAAGGCTATTGTTTGGTGTTCCTACAAAGCCCTTCATGGTAGTGAATCTGGGTACTTGAGAGACCGCCTACTGCCAATTACCTCCACCCGACCAATTAGATCCCATAGATTAGGCCTCCTCCGAGTCCCATCTGCCGGTCAATGTCGACTGGCAACTACGCGGAGGAGAGCCTTCTCAGTGGCAGCTCCGACCCTATGGAACGATCTCCCCGTGGAGATTCGTACACTCACCACCCTCCAGACCTTCCGCACAGCCCTTAAAAACTGGCTATCCCTATTTTTACTCCCCTTCCTTCCATTTCCTCCCT